GTGGGATTATATGAAGAGACAGAAGGATTTGAGGCAGCTTACATCCACAGGAGATCTGTGTTTAGCTCCCCAAGATGTTTGGAACAACCTACCTGCCAAGTTCCTTCAAAAACTGTGTGCAAGTATACCTAGAAGAATTGATGCTGTTTTGAAGGCAAAAGGCGGTCACACCAAATATTGATTTGATTTGGGTTTTTCTTTTGTTTGCTTACTTTGCATTTTGTAAATTGATAAATATAAACAATTATAATATATCTTTTTGAACACATTCTTACTTTATAGCATTTTTTCACACCTGCCTAAAATTTTAGCACAGTACTGTATAAATGTGCATGCATACATGGACTTGAAGTAGAGACACAGTTGAGCCAGAACACAAGTCAAGTGTGAAATTAATTGTTCTGTGCTTTCCATTGCATCAGACTAGCATCTGTTATATTATTTTTGTGGACAAAAAACTGGGAATCATTAAGTTGAAATGAAAGAGCTCTGTGCAGGAAGATGAAAGCTTCAAATAGAGTTTGTTTTGAAGCCTATCCTAGTAAATTGTGCTCATTGCATTGTTATTTCTCTTTTTTAAAAAGTCTAGCTAAGATCATTTTTGTCCTGTAATGTGATCAATGTGTTGGCATGAAGGATTACTTCTGGTATTTTGTTTGGAATTTAAGTTTTATCAAAACATACTGAACTTATATTAAGAATGCTGTCAACTTCCAAAGTGAAATACATATATTTTTAAAAAGCAAAGTCATAATAAGCAACTATGTTCTACACTCATCTACTGTCTGAATTTTGTTGTGGTGAAAATATTTATGATATCTGCAGATGTCAGTAATCTTAATCCTTTATTATTTGTATTAGGGTTACAGCAGAGGTGAAGCATAATCCGACCAATACCATCATATGTAAAGCACAAGGGGAGTGGAATGGCATTCTGGAATTCACATACAGCAGTGGAGAAACCAAAATAATCGACACCACCAAACTACCGATAATCCGGAAGAAGATCAGACCAACATCAAAACAAGGGCCATTTGAATCAAGGTGAAACCATTTTGGCGAAAACTCGTCTCCTTTAGTTGTATTTAAGGCAACCAGTAGTCAAAAAGAGAGTTTCACAATTGTAAACCATGCTTTTCTAAGTTGCTTCTTCAAAGATTTTTCTAAGCATGCGGTTTTGCTGGATGCACCTAATGCAGCCTACTGAATGATATAGGGATTCTTTCATCCTCTAGAGTCGTGTTTCTCAACCTTGGCAACTTTAAGACAAGAATTCTGGGAGTTGAAGTCCACCCATCTTAAAGTTACCAAGGTTGAGAAACACTGCTCTAGACTAAAATGGCCCAGCGTTGCTTTCCTGTGGATTTTCTGTTCATTGTTCATCTTTCCAGTAAGGATAACCCATAAGAAGTTCAAAAATACATAAAAGCATTTCTGAACTTACTATAGGTGAATTGAAAATATAATTCTATTAACTGATGTGGAATAAATTGAACCATGCAAAATATGTTAAAAGACTGTATGGGGTTTCTAGAGAGAACGGATTTAATCTAAAACAAGATAGTTGATAGGGGGAAAGTTTAACCTTTCCTAATTAAGTATGTATTTGAGCATAAATATTTCAGTATAAATATTCTTCATAGTTTACACAGTTTAATAGTTTACCGTAGTGCATTTCAGTCAGCAATATATAGAATAGTTTGTAAATGCTCAGATTGGAGCAAGTGGATATAAGAATTCGTTTATTTATTCCTACATTTATATCCCCTATTTTCATTAGGTGCTCCAAGTGGCATACCTGAGGGCCACTCCTTATCTGACCCTCACAAAAACTCTTGGAAAAGGAATAATTTGTTCTGGGAAAAGTTGTAGAAGACTCTTGAGTCAGTATCTATTCTAACATTTCAATTCAGAGGGAAAAAAAAAAGCTTTAGATAACTAAATGGTAGACAATGAAACCTATTAAAACAAATACTCAACACCGCCAATACATACAAATTGACTGATCTGTTCAGTTTGGCACAATGAAATAAGTGCTGCCCAATACTTATTTCAATTGTACTGCTCAACTCTTCTGTGGATTGTGGGGCGACCCTGGATGAAGTTTGGAACACAAGTAGATAATGAAGAGGAAGTAGCTGGCATACAGGGTAGCTAGCAAAGATAAGTCTTAGTGGAGCTTGGTTTATTGTATCATGTTTCAATTTTGTGTTTTTGTTTGAGTAATAGAGATTATATAATATTGCTTTTGTTTTCTGTTGTTAGCTGTCCAGGGTACAGATATAAGATGGGCAGCCGTGTACATTTCTTCAATAAGTAAATAAAAATGGTGTGCATAAGCAGAAGTCCAGTCATAACGGATATACCTGATTATCAGCTACTGCAATATAAATTTAATTTTATTAACATTATCTTATTATTAACATTTAATCTTATTAACTTTAAACATTGCTACACTTATATAAAAGCTTGCTCTTAATAAGAAGTTTGCCCCTTTTTTTTTTTTTTTTTACAAATTTGGAGTGCTGCGCTTAGTTGAATTTTTCTCAGAAAGTGCTTCCAAGCTGGCAGCTATGACTTTAGCGCTCTTCCTCTGGACTTTAGTGGATTTTTGTCAACTAGCATTTCCTTCCCTTCCATGCAAACCAATAGGCTGCGCTGTAGCTCTTGTGCAACAGGTTTGCTTTCAGACCAGGCTTTTTCATTCTTTATCTACAGGCATTTATGGCAGCACGTCACCGCTGCCCTGAAGGAAGGTGATATTGGTGTGGCAACAGAACACAAGCACTTCCTTGAGGAGAGGCAGCGAACAGAGGAGAGGCAGCGAGCAGCTAGCAACACACTTTGGAAACCAAAATATTTTATCAAAGAGGTATGAGAAAGATACTAGATGGCAGAAAAGTCCGTCCATGGCAAATCATTGCACTTGAACATCCTTAGGACATTTCAGTTTTGGAGTTTTGAAGATCTTCCTTAATTATGCAATATGTTTAGGAATAACATGCTTGGATACGAGTGTGGTGTGGATGAATATTTTGTTAAGCAGAAGAAAAAAATGCTGTATTCATCACCAGTTAGAATGGCTATATTTGAACAAACTTCTTTTGAGTGAATTTTTGGATGTGGTTTTAAATAACAGAAAGGGAGAGAAACATGATGGGCTGCACAGAACCCAGTAGTGGTCTGTCACCACAATAAATTAGAAGTTTTCTATGATTATTATTGTGTCCCAGGCTGAAATGTCATGAACCACTACTGCCAAGATAAATAATAAACTGTGCTAATGAACAACTACAATGAGAAGAGTAGCTTATTCACATGCTGCTGAAAAATCTTTCCAGTTAATTCAACTTCTTTGCATTTTGGTGGATGATTAGATTTAGATGTAGGTGTCTGCAATGGAACTGGCTGCCCTGCGACTCCTCCTTGTAGCAGCCCCTTTGCAAATACTGGACAGACAGTTGGGGCCTGTTTTGAATGGGGCTGGATGCAGAGCAGTGAACAGATTCATGAATGTTTGGCAGAAGCATGCTCCAGGGTTTAGCTCTCCAAGCTTATTCTAAGGGTCCTTCTTTTTGAGCTTGGATACATCTGGATTTTATGGAACATGCATTCTGGCCAAATACTGGCTGAAAGGATTGCCAAGTTACAAAGCATTGATTTCTCAGGATGCTACTATTACTTCTCTGGTGCCTGCTCTCACGATGTTTCCTACCGCCCCTGCTGAACTTTACTTTGTTTCTTGGAAGGTGGGTATACTCCCAAACAAAACCATGGGATTATGGCTGTCTATCAGGCTTATGGGGCTCATTTGAGGCCCAGAGGCATTCTTGGTAGTGATTATGATGTCTGAGCCTGGTGCTTTGTTTTGAACCAACTCCTTTTCCTGTTTTTTAAATTATTTTTTTCAATCAGACAGATTAGGGAACCTGGTGAGTACAAAGAGAATTGGGACTATTACATTCTCTGGGCCCAGTGCTAGGGTCCCTGGATTTTTACCATTCAGCAAGGCTTTCCAATCTGTGTAGCGTTTTTTTAAGAGCTAGGAAGGTTGCTGAGTAGAGATTGGAAAATCTATTTGTGTTAACCTCTAATCCTACATCTAAACTTGGATTCAACCCAGAATACTGAAGTTTAAATAGGTCTGTCAGAGCCAGACTACACAAATCTGGACAGCCATTAGATGACAGCAAAGAAATGAATTAATCATCTGGATTTTTATAGCCCATATCTGGCAGCCCTAGCTTAAGGTGAAACAGTGGAGTAGCTTTAGTTAAGAGAAGCAAAAAAAGAAACAAGAAAAGCCAAGATGCTGTTCTGTAGTGGAATGTATTCTTGGAAGCATTCCAGTAGAGCAGCTTAATTTTGCTATTAAGATTTTGCAAAGCAGGCTGTATTATTAGTCATAATTACAATTATGCCCAACATCTAGACTTGTAGCTTTCTTTTAAAATTTTCTGTTTAGGAGATGCTGCTTAAAAAGAACAAATCAGAAACAGAAGAAAACCCTGCTTTTTAGATGAAGTAGTGGCTTGAATCTACAGCAGTGAAAAGTATTGCCAAGAGAATCTCAAGAAGTATTTTAGATGTCTTTGCTATTTACTTAATGGATATCTTGCCATCCAAGCTTGTTATGTTTTTGATAAACTGTCTTGTGTTCAGTAAAGATATTTACTTGCAATTTCTGTGATTCTTTTCAGGGTGATGGATGGATGTACTTTGATCCCCTCTGGAAGAGTCATTGCTAAATTCACCTGGATTCAAACGCCCATTTTCTAAAGGCATTAAAAAGATGCACTATTTAATCTTCAGGTGTGATTAAGTCTTGCAGTCAATTAAAGCTGCATTCTGTGAATACTGCAGCTCAAAACTAAAAGCTCAAGTTTATTGAAGAGCCATTCTGTATGCATATATTAGAAGTGGATATGCTTCCTGCGTGTTGATACATAGCAAAAGTGTGTCCGTATATGTGTATGTTATATATAATACACATATCACACAGTGATTGAATATCTGATCTTTTGCACTGAAATCAATGTGTACCACATTGGTTGCAGGATCAGGCTTCATGTTATTATCACTTTCTAGTATTGATGACTTTTTCTATTTTTCACATTGCAAAAAAATTTTGCACTTAAAGCCACTTGATACTGATAGCAGTTACAGAGCCTGACCTAAAGAACATACTTTGACAAAAGAATGTTTTTTTTTTTTTAATTTGGATGTTGGTGTGAAAAGCATGTTTCTGCCTTGTGGGTCACTCTGAAGTCTTTGTTTCCTGGCATCATGTAGGAAAATAGAAATATCTAAGCAGCCTTGTTAGACATTGGCCCATCCTTCTGACTATGTGCTTTGTGTACCTAACATATAGTTTTGTTTCTTTTTGGGAAAGTAGATGCTTGATAACTTAGTGATCAGTAGATGAACCAGAGATTTCTGAGAGACCATTGATTTTTCAAACTCAGTAATAGTTGCTTGGCTTCTGTATCCAATTTTATTGACTACATCAGTTGCTTTGACAGCAACCCATAAATGCAGAACTTATTTCTGGGATTAAAGGAATATTTTGTACAAAAAAAAAAGTGTAGTTGTTGAGATGAAATGTTTTGGCACAAGTCAGAAAATGTGGGGAGAAGATTTCTCCCACATCACTTGTTGCTGTAAAAAGAGATAACCAAAAGTAGAGTCTGAATTGTTTTATCTGCTTTGAAGTATCTCGTTCCAATAAAGCCCTAACTACATGCCTAAATAATGCTTATCAACTGTTGGGAGAAAAGAATAGGAAAGAAATTTCATCTTGAGTTCCCACAAAATGGTTTGTGCTATTTAGGATGCCCAATCTGTTGTACCAGCCAACTGACTTGCATATTCAGCTTTCCCATCCAACTTGAACGGTGCATGAGAAAGCCTAGCTTCCTCAAGATGAGGGAGATGCAGCCTGTCCCTAAGCTCAGAATGGTCCAACTGATTATTAATCATTTATAGAGAAGTCCAGGATATATGAAGAAGCCTTATAGAAGATCACAAAATCCCATTCATAGTAGAGTAAGACAGATCAGTTTTTATAAAGTAAAGATAACTCTGTATCTTGTCCCCCAGTTATAGCTGTATTATTGCTCATACCTCTTAATGGCAACACAGAGTCAATTTAAATTAAAGCTGTCAATGTAGAAAGTTCTCTGTTCAATCTATAAAACCATATTTACAATTCTTTTTCAGTACGTAAGTTTTGAATGCTGACCTTGATTATTTTTGTGCCTTGTCTGCTTGAATTTTTGTATCTTAAATGAAAGATTTACTAGCTTTTAAAATATTTTTTCAATGAAAATCTTAAGGTGGCAGTCAAAACTATACACATGTATCTATATAAAACAATGTATATGAGTAATATTACCCATGCTTTAATTCTTTCTGTTTAAAAAATACCAATATTTACCTAAAGATCTAGTGACCAAGTCCTCCTCTTGGTCTTATTGTATACCTGCCCTAGCATAAGAAATCCATTCAATTTATAAAAACATAATTTATTTAACCATGTTTAAAACCTATTTTAAAGGAAGTAAAGCTATACCCTTGAGATAATGATTTACAAATCTTTGTTTCTAGAAGGAAAACTCCTTTGGTATCAAATCTTGCATATCTTTGATAGCAGCAGAAACCTAATTTGCACTACTTGTATAACATTATATAGGAGGCTGAGATTAGTCTGGTAAGCAGCTAGCACATTAACAAATGCTCTCATAGACTTCTGAAATTGCAGTCCATGCTATGTTTTCTATTCATTCTATAAATAACTGATTTCAGTTTTGGATTACATTATCAGATCTGTGTTGATACAAACCTCTTGAATTCTAGACTTTGCCAATTAATATCGGTATCCATGTTTTAGGATTTAACTTCATGGATAGATATCTTTCTTTTATACATGGGCATTTCACACTGTATGATAAACCATGTTAGTTATGTTCTTATAAATATCTTGTGCTTGTAATGCGATTGGCAGCTGAACACCTGATGAAACTATTAAAATTTCCTGAAATTGTCAGATTAGATCTGCTATACACAGACTTAAATTTGGAAAATACTAATCAACAAGAGGTTCCAAAGAGAAGCCAAGATAACTTTCTTCCTCTTTCCCAGTGTAAAAGTTTCTCCTTGAATTTCACAACTGAATCAGTAACATGCCTTATTTCTAGGTTATTACATACTTGTTTTGCACTTCAGACTGGATGTTTCTTTTCAGTTAGATGCTCTATACACTTTGAATTGTAAATTTTGATGTACTTCCAGTTTTGTCACAGCTATAAGACCTATGCAAATTTTTCTTAAATAGAATTATTCATAAACAAAAATTTATACTTATTTGTTAAGATCCAATTCTTTGGCAGTCACTTCCAATTAGCTTTGCTTTCATAACTTGGGAGTTTAAATCACAAACTAAATAAATTTTATTTGAATTTATTACTGTGCTAAACCTATCTCTGCAGCTTTTCCTGGCTTTATTGCATAATTCTGTTCTGCAATGTTAATACTAATCACAGTTCAACCACCAGTATGTTTTGGTACTACAAAACATCAACTTCAAAGGCAGCGCATCAGTTAATCATCTCATGGACTATTGGTACATACCTCAACCTTCACAACATATAACGAACAATTCAGAAACGGCTGCTAAAGTGAATGTTTGGGTCGAGAGTTCAGGGTGTCAAACAGCACTTCATTCTCAGATATTTCTTGTGAGGTAGCTACTCACAAGTTATTTTGTGAGGTAGCTACGTAGCTGATAAGAGTGTGATTGGCTCAGCCATCTAGTGAGCATTTCCATGGCTGAGGGAAGACGTGAACCTGGGTCTGTCCCCATGGCAACACCTTAAGGACTGCACCACACTGGCTTGGATAATGTTGCTGCTGTAGAACATGATGGTATGGTTTAAGGACTTGGTGGCAGGCTTGTGGGACTACTGTATTCAAACTTGGAATTGCAGATAAAGGGAGCACATAACTCTGATTTCCAGCTGATTGGATTTTAGATTTTATGGTGTTTTAATCCCTAAACAGGTGGCGATCAATTCTATTCCCCTCACCTAATGTTTCTAGAGGAATTTTGCTACAGGCCTAGCCAGTGAGTCTGCTGAGTCCTTGGCCAACACCTAGAACTGAAAAGCTTGATTTTATAAGCTTGATCCTGAATATTTGCAGCCAAGGAAGAAAGTTAATTAGGTTGTATGATATTCTGAGGAATTTAGGATGATGAAATGGCAAGATTGATACTGAGCTGTAGGTGGCAGAAAAAGCAAGATTAAATATGCCTTAGAGATACTTCTGTCCCACATTTGCATCTACACAATATGGGTTGAAAGGTCAGGTGGTTGACAGGTTCAGTATGACAGTACATAGAACGCTCTATTGTAACTTCCTTGTATTGTTGTTGTTGTTGTTATTATTATTATTATTATTTTATAAAGTACGTTCCATGCATCAGAATCAGAGATGATTATAGCCGGAGCACTATCTGTGGTAGGTTGAAATCTACTATTTGATCCATGAAACTTTGTCCTGCATACTAGGCTCTTGTCCTTAAGGATTTTGTTAAGGACCAGTATGGTTCCTTCCACTGTGAAAGACAGATCAAACCATTATTCATTAAGTTTAGATTCATAAGCTTTGCTAAGATTACTTCAGTGTGAGTTTTATCATTCATAAGCACCGTGTTAGGGTGAATGGTGTACATTCAGTTTAAGGCAGGTTTGGAGAACACCATTACATTTCAGTAATTTAAACATGGAAAATCAGTATGTTTGAAAGAATTCTGATGATTGAGGGAGGAGCTCCCTTTGGCAAACTAGTTTGAAGAGAATTAATGCTAGTAAACAGAAAAACTAAGCATAGGAAAAGAAACCAGGAACAGAGTATCATGGCAGAAGCACATCTTGTTGGCATCCTCAACATTTATGTTGGCTGGTAAGTATACTGAACAACATTATTGTTGGATTGATCCAATTTACAAAGCATAGAATAGTTAACTGGATTAATTTAAGCAGTATTTTTTATCTCCATCCCTGTATGGTTGTGCATGGAGACCAGTATTTGGGGCAAGGTTACTTGCAGGACTGCCTATCTCTGACAGTTTCTTCTGGTTCCAGATCCAAGAGGGTGGCCACGCTCCAGGTCCCTTCTACTAAACAGCATCATCTGCAGAGCGCCAGAGAGATGACTGGGGAAAACTAAGTAGAGATGACAGTTACATAAACAAAAGCATGCTTTAAGCCCTGGAAACAGAGCAAGCATGAGGAAGTTCAGACTGGCTCTACCCTAATTCACTAGAGTTTAAGGGGAAAAGAAAGGAAAACTCAGAGTTTCACGGTTCTGTTCTGATAGTCTATAACAAAGTATATCTCAGTCAAACTTGTGGAGTCTGTTTCTTGACCTGGCCTACCTCAAAGGGCTGACATCTTGTTGGACCAAGGAGGTTTGCCTTTGCCATCGTGATGCCTGCCTTATGGAACAGGTGCCCCCCTGACATTTGGGCCCCTGACCCTGTGGAGTCATTGGGGTTCTCTTGAGCTTGATGGTTTTCTTGCAGATGTTATCTAGCCCAGTAAGGAAACATCTGCAAGAAAACAACCAAGTTCAGAGAACCCCAAGAACTCCACAATGCAATCCTGAGCTACATATATTCTCTTCTGTTGGTACCCCCTGAACCTTTTGGCATTCCAGAAGGTTGTTAAGACACATGTGTGTGTGTTGCCTTCAAGTCAGTTTTTGACTCCTGGTGACTGACTGGACTAGTCCTGCAGTTTTCTTGGCAAGGCTTTTTGGAAGAGGTTTGCCTTTGCCTCCTTCCCAGGGCTGAAAGAGGGTGACTGGCCCAAAGTCACCCCGCTGGCTTCATGCCTAGGGCAGAACCAGAACTCAGTCTCCTGGTTTCTAGCTTGATGCTTTAACCACTACACCAAACTGGCTCTCTTTATACAGTATATAAGAATTATATAGGAACAAATTTCCAAAATTCTGGAGAACAGATGCCATTAGCAACGTTATAAACAACTTTGATTTCACTTAACAGTAATTTCCTGTATGTCAAAAGCCCAAAGATCTAACTATTCTGAGTTTTTTGCTCCTCAAAAGTATGAGTATCTTTTGATGATGACAGAAATTGTGGATGTTGATACTCTTTTGATTCCAATACTGAATTGCAAGAAGCTAACACTTTAATAGATGTACTGAATGCTCTGAATGGACTTTTCTTGTGATGAACTTAAAAGTGGGAAGAGCAGGAACCTTGTTTTAGGATTCCAAAAGAATATCTTCAGCTCTGGAATCCATACATAGGCATCAGAAACCACAAAGATAGGACTTTTATTTCTCCTAGTATTGCTGTTGAACTAGATTCTGGCTACATGTGTCTTCTCAATCAACTTGAGGCCACTGCATTAATCACAAAAATCTTGCTTTGAGAGAGCTTAATTAGGTGGGAGGAAGGGGCACTGAGAAACCGTCTCCACTACCAATCCTGCTACAACATAACGTTGCTAGGTTCTGTGCAGCAATGCTTAAAATTCGTTGATGACCTGTGCCATAAACTAGACTTAATAAGCATCTAGTTTGCCATACTATAGTGCTCTGTAATTTGATATAGTCTTCCACATACTAACCTTTATGCTCCCCTACACCCATCTAGTGCTCCTACCCCTTTTAGATTCTTTTATACTAATGTATGTGTGTATACGTATATATATATATATACACACACACACAGACACACACACACATTGTTTTAATACATTTTTGTATCTTCTAGCTTTTCATAGTTTTTATTTTTAGACTCTGATTATCTTCTATGCTTTTTACTTGACAGTACCCCACCCTGCTTATGTTGGCCTATAGCTGTAATAAAGACTTGATTTGTCTCCACTACAAGTATGTAGAAGTGAGTGTGAAATTGGTGAAAAGCAGAAACAGCATCTCAGGGGACTTTGCTAAACCTAAATGGGGGAAAGAAAGTGATGAATAAAGCTTTTTTGTTGTTAACGTAATTCCAAATCATGGGAGAATGCCTTTCTGTGTTTTTTGTAACTTCTGCAAATCTGATATTTCATCTCTTCTCAAATTATCTTTATTTGAGGCGCTCAGATTTGGCTGCTATTAACAGATACAGTACTATCAACACATATTCTCACCCATTTTAGATTTTCTGAACTGTTGCATAGCTTTGCCAATGAATGTTATCAAAGGGATATATAAAAATAATCTAAGTAAACAGTAACCCCATTATTTGGTGCTTCTTTCATTTACTGAATTTCATAAATGAAGTAATCCAACATGCAGTGTGCCAGTGTGAAAAAATAACTGCCTCCCTAGTACAATCGATTAAAAGAATAAGGTCAGTTATGTCAATACTTCACTAAACAATCAGGGCACATTTAGGCTATCCAGTCCTACCCTATATTAATCTCACAAACTTTGGTTCCCTTCATCACAATGAAATTCTTACCACACAGATTTAGACATGTCATGCCCCACTTGAAGGATATTGTTGAAGACCTCCATAAAAAAGTAATTGGTACCTATCAATTTGGAAAGGTTTATAAAATCATTTGTAAAGTCCTGGAATGCCAGTGATTCAAAGTTAGAAGCACATTACTGTATTGAAATGGAACTGATGTGAGATAATGGTGAATCCTTCCAAAGGTGGTTGTCCTGTAAAAAATCATTCCAAATATAATATAAATTCTTAAGTCACAAAGAACTCCAGAACAAAATATGCAAGACTCTAGCCTTACCTAAGTAATGATTCCACCATCAGAAAATCATCAGGTAAAAACTCACGAGAGTAATAAAGTGGAAGCCATTGATTTCTAAAAAAACCCAGTTTGGTCTAGTGGTTAAGGCACCAGGCTAGAAACTGTAGATTGAGAGTTCTAATCCCATTTTAGGCATGAAAGCTGGCTGGGGGACTTTGGGCCAGTCACTCTCAGCCCAACTCACCTCACAGGGTTGCTGTTGTGGGGAAAATAGGAGGAGGAAGGAGT